GTGGCATGATTCATTACCCATCCATTAACAAGTGCCAGCATGAAATTATGCCCCACATTTGCTAACTAGCTTCCACAGAAAAGGAACGAACTACACATTCAATTCACCTGGTCTATCAACACTTCACTGGCTATGATCCAACATAATTACTTACTATCAATTTATAATTTTACACAGAGCACTGTATAATTTATGTTAAAGGGTTTAGTTTCATATCACTGCAGTACTTTGAAATGCACTTCAGTAGCTCTACAGATCCAGGCGTTGAATTATATCACTTCTCTCTAAATACTGCATCAGACTCAAACCCAAAGGTTATTTGTAATTTATTATAAACCTACAGACAGTTTTTATTTAACATGTCTACCTAGTAGTGTTAAGATTTTTATCCTCTATTTAAATAGTCTATCTTTATTTTCAAAATTCCTGTTGTTTCTGCTGTTCTTGTTATGAAAAATGTCATCAAAAATTGAATGCACATAACTAGCACAGCATTTGAAATATGCTGGGTGCACTGAAATGCACTTGTCTGAACCTGCTCTGCTGGAGTGCTTTGGAACTCCTGTGGCTATACCTGTCTCACATCAGACTGCTGCCGTGCTCTACATCTCCAGGGCTGGATTCTCAGCAGCCAGCTGTGTTTGTGTGACTTCAAAGATGCTGTGCTGCTTTACACCAGCTGAGGATATAGATGTCTGGAGTTTGGGGGGTTGGGTTTTTGTGTTTGGTTTGGGGGGTTGTTTTTTGTTGGGGTGGGTTTTCTTTAGTGTTTGGGTTGGGGTTTTCTATAAAGAAGGTTGAGAAGTGGTGTTCTAATCATTGCAATACAGTGGGTTTGTGTCCTGTATTTGTCATAATATTTGACTGAGGAATAGAACAGCATCTATGATTAAAATATATCTTTGTATAAAAATACCACGTTCAAGAATTTACTTACATTAAAATATATTGTTGGGCATTTTTATTACTTTCATTTTTCCATTTCTTTAAGAAGCTTAATGGATATCTGAATTTTTGACCCTAAAAAATTGTTTAGAATTGTCTGCATTTTTAAAGGTCTATAATATATACCCAAATCATAAGGTAGTTCAGTTTATCACCTGCAAAAACAAGTTTAAAGAAACAAATACCTACCACTAAATAAAAATATCATTGTTTTGGGGTTTTTTTGATACAACTGAGTCTGACCATTTCATATAGCATATATTATCATGTGCAAACAGAAACCAAGTATAAGAAAAGTAAAACTTTTGATTCTTTAGTTAATGAATGAACACCAGTGTTAACTCTTTACGTTAGAACCATGGCCTTGCTACCAATACACTGTAAATGTTTATCCCCCCCTTAAAAACATTTTGCACTTAGAAAAAAATAAGACAACATTGAATACAGAGTAAGATCTCTTAACTCTAGTCTCAAACGAGAAAAAACTGCACTACAGAATGACAATATTATGAAGATTTAGGTGCTGACATTTGGTGACTGTTGTGTGAAGCTTTCAGTTAGAAGCATGAAATGAAGACGTGAAAATATTTTGTTGTAAAAAATAAGATACAGTGCTATTAAACATTGTTTTAAGTAATGTAGAAAAATAAAAGAGCAAAACATAACTGCAGTTCTACAGGCTTTTCCTTTACACTATTTTTACCTTCTTTAATTCCAGCTTTGCAGTTCCAGTTAATAGATACTTGCCTATTAACCAATTCTCTGACAAACCAGGGAAGAGCATCAAATCAGAAGATGGTAATGGAGCCCTTCGGGTGGGAACAGGATTTAGACCTAATTGTTACGATGATGTGTTTCAGTCCACACTGCATTCATCTCCTGTAAAGCCTGCCTACTTTACTTCAACTTACAGATACAGGTGGTCTCAATACAGCATAAAAAAAGAGCAAAAAATGAAAATGTCCTCGCAATTTCAGTCCAACTGTTAACTAAATTTGAGCAAAGCTAAGCACCAGAGACAGAAATTATCACTGTTTCAGAATTATTCCAGTAATCACCTTCTAGAAAATGGTAACTTCTTAAAATAGATATATATACTCAGTTTACTACCTGCCATTTACTTACACAGTTCTTTCCTACTAAGTTGTAGTTAGTATTACTCTTCCACAATGAAAACTTTGTTCCACACCTTCATAAATGTTTCAAAAAAAATTCAATAATAAGTCACAATGAACTAGCTATTTGGCCAATAGCTGAGATGCAAGCTGCCCTCATTTGTTGTTTCAGAGTTTTTCTGTTTATTTTTCTACTTATTAAAAAGCATTAAAGTTATTAGCCATTAGGTGCAACTAATATTTGGACCTATTTTACAGCATATGCCTAGTTAAAATCTGTTTTTTAAAGTTATTAAATTATTTTTCCAAAATACAAGTCATTCAGAGATGGAGAATACCAACCTGACAAGATTCTGTGCCACTTACATAAGCACTGCTGGTCAAGCCCCGGGACTGCTGCCCTTCCTGAGCTGATTCTCTGCTGCTTTTACGATTGATGAAAACCACACAGCTATGAATACCAACCAGGCTTTTCCTGTTTGCATGCTACTTTGATACAAAAGTAATAACGACTACTTCGGCTGTAACCATGTTCAGTGAATATCACTGCTTGTGAAGGTAAAAGAAAGTGCCAATACTCAGCGAGGGGGGAAAGGTATTCCCTTAAATACTAAGGGAAAAACACCACTTTAACTCCACAAGTTACTTGGGAACATAACATACGAACTTCTATGTATTAAAAGCAGTGCAATTCTTCAGCCTGGGTAACACTGTGACACCACTTTTGATCAAGTTTTACAAGAAAGTTTCTAGACTCCAGGGCATGGTGTTATGAGGTCAAAGGTTGGACTTGATGACCTTGGAGGTCTTTTCCAACCTTAATGACTCTATATAGTGATATTTTTCTGCAGTTGAAAAGCCTACATTAGACAGCAAGGTCATTTTTGCTAAGAGATGAACATAGAGATATGATGGCAAAACCCCACAGGATGGAGGTCACCAGCGTCCCTCAGCACTGCCCAGCCATGTACAAAAAAGCAAGGCATGAGGACTCATACTTCAAAAATCATCTACTAACACTTAAAAGAGAGATTTAAATTGAATGTGGCATTAGCAAGACCAGTTTATACAGTTAAAACCCTGTCAGTCACTTATAACTGTTGATTTCTTCCATGCTCGGTATCAGTTTTGCTCTTAAAATTTACATCAAGTTTCCAGAAAATTCTATGAAAATTTTAAGCACCTGAAATGAGAACTTAAAAAACCCCCAAACAACAAAGCTCTACAATACTAATCCTTATTATCCAACTACCTACAATATCCCAAAAATTTAAAACCCATGAGCAACCTCAAATCCTATTCTTATTTTGTAGTACTTGGCCTGCCCTGACTTAGTCCATTATGTACCTTTACTGCCATCACCACGGCCAGAGAGGTGGCTTTGGCTATGCCATTAGTACTCTTGCAGCAGTTCTCTCCTTCCACACCTAAAACCTCCTTCCCTCTCCACAAGTATGCACATCTCACCTCTGCTCTGTGGGGAATCCAGCCTGTTCTCCTGAGCAGCGTGCAACTTCCACGGGGTCTCTTCCCTCCTCTTCTTGCATGACAATTTTGCGGCACATTTTTTCTTCTAAGGCAACTATCCCACAAAGGGAGGAGCTAAAAGGTCCCTGTTATCAGCAAGTGCGTTTGAAAATGAACACCAGTAAAATCCCTTCTCCACTATGGCTGGGAGCAATTTAATCCTTATCGGCAGGAACTGCGGCCCGAAGGAGAGAGGCCCTCGATGGAGCCCGCGCTCCGTGAGGAGAGGAGCCCTGAGGAGAGGAGTCCCCGGAGAAGCCCTCGGCGGAGCCCTGAGGAGACGAGCCGTCGGTGCAGCCCGCGCTCCTGGCAGGAACTGCGGCCCAAGGCCAGGAGCCCTCGGTGAGCAGGGCACAAGCGTGAGGAGCAGGAGGGCAGGCAGGAGGTGGTCTGTGCTGGTTGGGATCCCCCATCCCCAGAGCGCCGCTCCGAGGCGGGGAGGGGCCCGTGCGTGTGTGAAATCGCGCCTGGCAGAAAGGGGTGGCTGGGGAAGGTGGTGGTTTAATTTCTGGCTTTCTCACTATTCACATCTGTTTTAACTGGCAGTCAGTTAAATTCATTTTTCCCAAGACAGATCTATTCTGCCCATGACGGCAATTGGTAAGTGATCTGTCTTTATCTTGACCTATGAGCTTTTTCTCCCCCTGTCCTGTTATGGAGGGGGCAGTGAGTGACGGGGTCAGCATCTGGCTGCAATCCATGGTCAGCTCACAACAGTGTGGTAGACAGATATAATAATTTTCTTTGCTGCCAGTCTAGTTATTAACCTTTACTTGTAGACTATCTCAGTTTTCTTTGATCTTTTTCACCTTCAGCATCTTCTATTAATTTGATTTCTCTTCAGTCATAGCTAAGGCCAAAAATGGCTATACAAACACTTTTTACTAATGCTCTTTTAGAAGTCAGTGTATATAAATTTAGGAAACTTCAGCATTATCTAATACAATCTTGCTTATTAAACAAGTTCAGGGCATACAGTGTAGTTCTACATATCACTGAAATTATCACAAACACTGCAGCAAAGTTTGTCACAGCTTTTTTGATGCAGCTTTCCTGACTGCACTTAGTGTTGCCAGTCTCAGTGAGCACAGTGGAGCTGCACATCAAGCAGGACTGCACTCCACCAGAGCTGAGAATAAAACTGCTCCAAGGCCTTCTCTTGGTGGCACAAACAAGGAAGAATAAGGAGACAACTCCTGTCCCCTAAACTTTTCCTCAACTTGCCCATTAGGAAGCACTGAGGGGGAAAGCAGCATTTCACATCTGGCTTCAGCATTTTCCCTTCTTTCATTCAGTCACACCCTTTAATAGTATGTTTTACGAAGTTAAAAAAACCTGCTTCTAAAGGCATATAGATATTTTGAGAATTTGAAAATTCTTCATGTATTTAACATTACAGTAGTGAACACCCAAGACATTGAGACATTTTCCTTTATTTATGTATTGCAAAGACATCTGTACATTATGTGCTTTGCTAAGTCCCATTCTGTGACAGTCAGGCTGTAATTCATAGGTGTACTTCTTTATTTCTCATATCCTTGCCCCAAATAGCCACTTCTAAGAAAAACAAACAAACAATCCCTCACTCAAGCCTGGCTTGCGCCTACCACTGAGCATTCAGAGGCAGAACAAGACTCACGGCCAGCTTCACCGTGAGAGCCCTAATCAATGACACTGACTTCAGAAAATGAAATAAGAACTCGGTACAATCTGGCGGTGGCGTTTGTGAGAGCCTCTCTCGACTGCGAGCCTGCCTTTGACTGCACCTTCAGCGAAAACCAAGGTACACGTGGAATACCAGCACCACCGGCGCACGGAACAGCCACCGCCAACCCATTACCTCGGGCTACCGGCTCCCGAGAAGCTTTCCAAGCGGGACGGACAAAGGCGGGGGCCGTTCCTTCCCGTCGCTGCCCCAGGGGCCGAGCTCCTCCCTGCACTGCCCCGGGAGCCAGGCCCGGACCGAGCGGTGCGGGGCTCGGGCGGCCCAGGTAGCCCGGTAGCCCCTCCCCGCCGCCAGCCCCGCCCCGCGGGGGATGGAGGGGCCGCGGCAGGGCGGGCGCTGGAAGAGGAAGCGGGGACGCGCTCCCGGGCGGCGACGGCGGGGTCACGAACTCTGACCTGTCACAGGGCACGGCACGGCACGGCACACACAACAAAACACCCCCGGCCCAACACAGCCCCGGCTCCCTCCCCTCCGCGGGCCCCACAGCCCCTCGCCGCCCCCGCGGGGGGAGGGAGGGCCGCTGCTGGGCACCGCCACAGCACCGGCCCGCCCGGGTCACCGCCACTGCACCTTTGGCGCCCATTCCTGAGGTAAAAACCATTTTTTAAAATTGAGGCGGCCCGGGTGGGTTTGTTTCGTGAGGGCCAGGACGAGGGAGGGGGCGCGGGGAGGCGGCAGCGGGCCCTGCTCGGGACACCCTAGCGAGGGGAGGGGAGGGGTGACGGTGGGTTTAGGGGAGGGGGATTGCACGGCTCCGATATTTGGCTGGTAAGCGAGCACCAGCCGTGCTCTGGGCTAGCCTACAGCTCCTGGAGAGAGAGAGAGGAGAGGAAAGGACCGTTGCGGCGTGCTGGGTCGATCGGCGGGCAGTCCCGTGGCGGAGCCGCTGTGCTGCAGTGTGGGCCGGCTGATGTCGGAGCCGGTCCGGTCGCGGTGAGCGCAGTCTGCTGTCCGGGGGGGTGCAGGGGCGATGGTCGCGGCGATGATCGCGGGACACGAACACACAGAGAGAGAAGATGGAGTCTGAGCGGGCGGAGGCGGCGGCTTGAACCCGACCCTTTTACCTTTGCCACCGGGAGGGCGGAGGGGAGGGGGCGGTGGGTACTTTGCATACGGGGCTGAGACCGCCGCCATCTTACCGGCTGCTTCCTCACTGCCATGCTCAGGCCTCCCATAGCCTGACACAAGGCTGTACCGGAGGGGAGGGGAAGGGGCCTAATGGCGGCAGCAGGAGCCCCGCCTGGGCCCTGGCGGGAGGCCAGCACCGCCATCTTGTGCTCAGTGCGTCCCCGGGGGGTTCTTCTTGCGCTCGGGGGGCGGTGCCGCCGCCATTACAGGCGGCTCGCTCGGCCAATGGGCGCCGTGCGGGGGAGCGCTGCGCCTGCCATGAGGTCATTGGTCGGGCCGGGGGGCGGGGCTGAGGCGCGCGGGGCGGGAGCTGGACGCGGCCCTACTGCGGCGGGCGGCGCGGGGCTGGGCCCGCCCTGCCCGCGGGGCTCGGGGACGGGCTGGGCTGCCCGGGGAGTCCCCGCCGGCCCTGGGGGTGTCCGTCGCGTTCCAAGCTGTCCGTCGCGTTCCTGCCAGGGCAGGGGGTGCCTGTCAAGGCACCACCGGATCGCGGGGTGCCCGTCGTGCCCCCCGTCGTGCCAGGGCCGGGGGTGTTCATTGTGTTCTGGGATGCCGGTTGTGTCCTGGCCTCCAGAACAACGTACCAGAGACTGCCGGCAGAGCCGCACCCGCGCCCCTCCTGTCCCGCCGGTGTAGCCGGGTCGAGCTCACAGTGTGAAGAATTCGTTTCCTTAAGACAAAGGAGCAAATTTCAATAGTCTTGAATTTGGCCTATTGCCATGTCGTCATGGTTGGGCCATACCCGTAGAATATCTCAAATGGAGTTTATGACTTGCTTCTGAGGTTTCACTGCAGCTTAGGGAGAGATTAATGGATTTACACCGTGTTTTGGACAGCAGTACCTCAGCACATACTGAGCTGGCTGCCACACTGCTACATTGAAAATAATTTCCTGGTGCTCCACGTGCTTCCTTGCAGATTTTAGGTTGCACCTCTTGTTGGTTTGTTTGGGGGATTTTTTTTCGTTGTTGCCTTACAAACTGTTTCTCGAGGCTTTTGCTGAGAAGCTGATTTTGCCTTCTGGGAGTTGACACCATTAAGAAGCTTGGTATGGCTGTGTACGGTCTCTGGGCTTAAATCGAATCAGCTTAATAGCCTCAGTTTAAGGCTCTTTCGGAAGGGTCGAAAGTACAGAAAGCCTTAGTGGATAACACCACCACCAGCACATCTGTCAAAGCCATACCTCAGGAAAGACTTCTTTGTGTCTCAGAAAGGTACTTTTATGAACAAAATATCTGCAGGGTTTCTTTCATCTTAAGGCATTGAGAAAATAACGTTATGACCATATGGTTATCGTTCTTGCTGAATATAAAATAATTTAAGAAAAGAGAAAACACTGAAAAGGAATTACTGAACGACTGAGAAACCATTCACAAACTGGGTTTGGTGGAAATGGTTCATAATATTAATGTGTAAGTTGAACACTTGAATAAAAAATGACAAGCTGTAGGAAAAACTAGCATAAATAGTTTCCATAGGGAAATGCATTTTTCTGTTACATTTTGCTATTGTTTGCAGTATTTTTAAATTTTATATTAAATGATTGCTTTGGAGATACAAACAGAGGTTTTCAACAAAAACATCAAATGGGCCAGCATTCAGGAATACCGTTTCATTACCTACACCTGGGTCAGAATCTGAAATCTGGCCCTGTAATGAGCAAGTCACAATTAAAAAGTGAATTAATTGATTGGAAATCTTATTTAAATTTACCTTGGGAGAAACACAGCCCTAATAATGATAATCAAAAATATATAGGAAGTGGTTTTTCTTGTTTCTTTATCCTTGATTGCTTTGCTTTTTTATTTTTTTTAACCCCAAAGGCTATAAAGTTCAGTGTGCAGTCACTCAGAATAGGATAAAATGATTCTGCAGTATTTTCTTCTCAAAGTGATAATACCATCACATTATAATAAAAAAATAGTTTAGATAACGGAAAGCACATTTTAGATGTGACAGTTTATTTCTCTTATTGTGCAAGATTACGCTAAGAATATGAATGAACATGGCAATTTGATGGAATGACTTGATGAAATTTTGTGCAAAACAGCATTCTTAGCTTGCTGTTCTGTGTTCAGTGTGGGATGTAGAAGCCGTTTAACTGTAAGGTTTATCCTTCTTGAGCTGAGGAAAGTGCCTTAGAGATCTGTGAACTCCACAAACTGCATCAGTAGTTGACACTCAAATTAGTCCTTTCTCATTTATGAAATTGCCATCTCTTCTTTACTGCCTAAATAATAGAGTGGAAATAGTATGTTAGAGTCTTTATAGAGTAAGGGTATAACTCTGTGCCCCGGGTGTTTGAACGGCACGGTTGCAGTGTGCACGTCCCATATACGTATATGTGCACACGTATGTAGTCGCGCACACGCATCCGCGGCACCTTGGCTTATTTGCCAGATGCATCAAGCAGAACTGTAAATTACCAAAAATTCATCTCAGAGCTTTCTTTAATAATAAGAAAACTCCCTGACTTTTGTGCCTGATGGAAGTTGCTGGCGTCTTTCCAAACAGGTTCTCTAATGATCTTGTTTCACCATGGCAACCAATATGGAGGTGCTGGCTCAGCAGGTAGTGGAGACTCAGCAGGTGGCTGAGGTGAGTGACAGATAATATCACAACAGTTGGTATATGAGATTTTGAAATTAAAAACATATTAGGGAGTCCCTGCTGTTCACAATTAAGCATCATAAATGGAACAGAAAATCTTTATAGAGCAGGATTGCTTTACACTTGGGGACAAATATGAAACCAGTGCCACCAATATGTGTTTTGTTCACCTAACTTCATTGTGGTGGCGCCCATATTAGGAATGCAAGTAGGAAATTCAGCATGAACTATAGAGAAACTTGGCTGTATTGTGAATTGTTAAAAAGACTAATACAATGAAATTTCTCATCATTTGATCATTAGATTGACTGTTTTGGACATGAAAGGTTTCTGCTTCTCATTTGAGTTGCAATCTGAATCCACCACAGTGTTTGAAGTTGCCTGTTTTACTTATGCACACTGTATTCAATTTACAGTAGGGTGATTAATTTAAATCAGGTTTTATATTTTCTGCCTACACATGTAAGAAAAAAGAGCATGAAATCTACTTTAAATGATATTAGGTGATGTCTTGATGTATATTCACTGAAGCTTGGATGCTCAATAGCTAAAATGTTTAAATCAACTACTAAACACAAACTATAAGTGTTCGCGGTCATAGAAAATAACCTGTTTATCTCCTTCACCATGCAAACTTCAGTCAAAAAATAAACTAGATCATTTGTCTGATTAAAATTATTTTGTTTAATAGCCTTCAAATACTGTGATTTTTCATATATTTACATAATTAAGGGATTTAATATATAGCTCAGTGCAAGTGGGCTGAGAGATCTCTCTAGATAAGGCCACTTTTCAGACACTAGTTTGGAGGTTTCCTTCATCTATTGTAGTATTGTACTATTTTTCATCTATTGTGCTATTACACCTGGATATTAAAAAATACTTTTAGTTCAAGAAGAAGCCCTATATAAGAAAGAAATACAAGTTTGATTCTGTTTTCAGAAGTGGATTCAAGATTCCCTACTTAGAACTATTTTTTTTTGGTTAAAATTTGGTTCTTTTTAGTGTGTCCTGGAAGTAACATCGAAGGAGTAGTTACAAAAAGCTCCGTGAGTTTCACACTGAAAACCAACAGGAGATTTATCACTCTAGTTTTCTGTACCAGGTATCAATTTGGCAAGCTGCATTTTTTAAAAACACTTCCAAACATACTTGGAAATAGAAACCTGTAATGGAAATACTGGCAAACCTTATCCTATATTGGTAGAACTTGGGTGCTATAATAACATCTCAAACACATAAAATATGTGACATTTGTAATTCCTCGTGCAGGAAATGCACCGTGGTAACATAGTGTGATGGTTGTATCTTGCCACTGGAGAGATCGCTCCATCTCAAGAGTGTACGAAGCTCTGTGATTTCTTCCTGGCCGGTGGGTAAATAGAGGGCTTCGTCTCTTTATGGTATTCAGCTACTCCTTAAACTATATGCCTGTCCACTACATAACACCATGAAAACTTTGTTCATGGAAAAACAGTTGTAAGCAGCATTATCTCATTAAGAATTCATTAATACTAGGACCATGTAAATGTTGAATCATTTTTTTATGAATGGCTGGCTGCCTGCTATATTTGTTTCTTCCATCAGATACAGGTTTTAATACAGGTAAATACATCACTAGTTTTCGTGACGTGTGCTAAAATTCTATATTGTACTTACTGTTTCTTTAGAATCAAACTTGGCACTGGCCTTAAAAAATGAGAGGTTTTCAGAATACCATATTTTTCATTGATGAAAATTAAATGGAAGAAGAGCATCATTGATCATGCACTGAATTTCAAGTTATGAACTGAGAGGCAAGTGGCAAACAGGATAACCCAATGCAAATATCGACAGCTTTAGCTGTATCTGCATAATTTTTTCCACATAATTGCCAACAAACGTAATGCCTGGGTTTATTGAGAACTGTGATATCAAGCACCAAATCAGACTGGCATGCAAGTAAGGCTCTGTGTTGTTTCCCTTTCTTGAGCGATAGTTCATCAGATTTGTTTTCAATGAAACTGAATGTATCACAGAAGTTGCTGAGCGTGCTCCAGTAGTGCATGTACTTTTGTACTTTATTTTTACGACTTTTTAAAATTGTCCTTGTAATTGCTTCAAATGGTTTCAGTGCTGTTGCTTGCTTCTGCTTTATATCAGTGTTGTTTGTTGAATTTTTGCAACTGTATATTTCTGTGGACATCCAGAAGAATTTCTTTACGGAAAGGGTTGTCAAAATACACAGAAATACAAAACTCTGTATTTCTGAACAGGTTGGGGGTGAGTAGTGTCTGCAGTTGCCTTTACTTACATTTCATGAGACTGGAGAACAGAGAGCAGCTATGGGATTCGGAGGGAATTTCAGCAATTCCTCCTCATCCTGAACAGCTTTTGAAAAGCAGGAAAAGTACTTTAGCCTTAATGCAAAAATAAGTAATGCTGCTTTTCCCAAGTATTTGTTTAGTACTGGGCAATATGTCAATGACTCGGGTTCAGTCCCACCACTGACTTAGGTTTGACTTGAATATTGTTTAAGAAAACTGTATTTAGTTTTGAAGTGGAGATGCATTCCCTGTGTAGTGCCTTAGATTTAAATGCAAATCTTTTAAACAGAGCTGTCACTGTGGGGAGGAATAAT